TTGCGTTGTTTCAGTGCATAGGGTTCAATCAGGAGTGACTGGATTTGAGAAAGTTGAAAATTCAAAAGAATGAATAAGAACAATATTAATTTTCAGATTGTTCTAACCATGTTGCCGGTCCCTTTTATACAACAATTTCAAGAGTCCCTACCACCGCCTTTCTACTGCTTCAATTTAGGTTTAAAAAATTTGATTTTTGTTAACTAATTTCACGTGGCTACAAGTAACGGATTTATAATGATCTGTTGACGTGGCTTCCTATCCGTCCCTATTAACGATCAAACACATCATTGCTACTTTCATGGTAAGCAATGCATGCGCCAGTTTTATAAGAAAAATACTTTATAAATGTATGTCTACACGCTTTTAATATCCCAAACGTAACCATATGCAACCATGCATGCATGCGTGCATGGCAAGTAGAGAAAATATGCTAAAAATAGAGAAAATAGGAGCATTCGATCCTTATTGTCAAGACCATTAGATCATGCAGAATTTGAAAATTGAATCAGGTTCATGTTTCTATTTCTTATTTCTATTGAAAACCAACCACATGGTTGAGTGAGTAATAATTGTTAAAAAAGAAATTTCCTACGATGCAATGCCTTTTTTTATGTTGCTCCATATGTCCACAATGGAAAGTATCATCGTCTTGTCGCTTCCCATCTGCTGTTTCCTCATCTTTGTTGCCACATGTTTCGCATGTCTCAGCATCACCACCCATTTCAATGTCGCCTCCATGTTCATAGTCTCCTCCTCTTGTTCTGCTAATCCTATCCCTTCTTCTCCTGCTCCTGGAAGTAGCTATAGATTAATGGGAAATGCGTGATCTGTTGCAAAAATGTGAATAAATTTGTGTTCACAATCATAATCATATGTACAGATGCTACTATGAAATAACTCACCCTCGGTTGGGAGCGGGAGTGGGATTCGATTTCATATGCCTCTAGAATGTCATTGTCTATCCTTAAAAATGTAGAGGGAAGAAAACACATAAACAAAACATAAATCACAAAATTCAACAACAACAAGTTATTAGTTTCCACTACTAACTTAATCTGACATGATATTTTAGTGCCCTGAGAACGGCATTAGTGAAAAACAAACATGGCTCTCTCATATGATCTTTATAGACATAAGAAAAAAGCAACTTTCTGATAGATTCTAACTTGGTATTGTAAGAATCTACAATTCCACGGGGCATATAAGTCTTACACTCATACACCTGTTCTGTTTTTCATGGTCTAGCCATTTCTGTCAAACCAATACCAATTAAGCAAAGCAATGAAATAAAAGTTTTTTTATTTCACTTATAGAGAAACAAGTAGATATAAGACAGTACAAGATACTACTCCAAGATAAAATAGAGAAAAAAATTGAAAAAAAATTTATCAAACGAGCAAAGAAAGTAGGAAGAGCAAAAAAGTTTTTAAAATTCACCGACCACCACGGCTAAATGCTAAATCAATCAAATCTGACTGGTCAAAGCGTTATTGTGTTGTTCTATTTTGTTCTATTCTGTTTGCATAAGCCGTAGGATTGTGTAAGGTGTTGAAAGAAAATCAAGATTTGATTTTTGCTAACTAACTTCACGTGGCTATAAGTCACTTTTACAACTATCTGTGCTGCCGTCGCTTCCTATTTTGCGATCAAATGGATCATTTACTAATTCCATGGCAAGCATTCACAAGATAAAATAGTAAAAAATTATCAAACGAACAAGAAAAATAGAAAGAGCAAAAAAATTTTTGAAATTCACCGATCACCGCAGCTAAATGTTGAATCAATCGAGTCTTACTGCTTAAAGACAGATAGTATTAGAAACTAATAACTTGTTCTACATTTTCATGCGTTGAAAGGCGGTGGTAGGGATTTACAAAAGGGACCGGCGCGGCAACACGGGTTTCTTGAACTCGATTGAGGCTTCCTTCGTGCGAGCAACCGTCGTCAGTGTCACAGCCTGCGCCTTGATCGCCCGTTACCTGACTGTTTTGACTCCACCCTAGACGTGGGGAACGATAGACGGAGGAGGCATTCTACCTCAGGTATAATATAGTAGTAATTCATTATTACTCCCCAGTTTTTCTTATGCGTACTATGTGTTTGATAGCAGTAAGTAGTATATCGCCACTACTACTAACTACTACTTGCCAAGGAGGATAGACTCGAATGTGTAGTTTCTCTTCTGTTCTGTTCGGCGTAGACCCAAAATTGGTCGATTAACATAATATGGTCGGACATTGTTGTCATAATTTACAATGATATGATGAAAAGTGTAAGTGGTGGGTGGGTAAGATGATCGGGAGGCTTGTGAAAAACCACCGTCTTTCTGCTGCAGGTTCTCTCGCTTTCTTTCTGCATTGTATAGATTCCCCCCATGGCTAGAATTGTGACGTTTTACTGGCCATCCAAACAAAACACCTGCCTCATCAAAATGATATGTAATTGTAAACTACCGAATATGCCTCCCAGATATTTTGCTTCGCTTTTTCACTGTAGAATATGCATTTTTCCTCTCCCTCTCTCTCTGTGATTTTTTCTCTATTATTTTGGGTTCTGAAGAAATTACTATGATTTATATATATTGGTTTACTATGATATATATATATTGGTTTGTCAGTGTAGCACAATGTTTATGCTATCAATGTAGAGAAGTGGTGATTTTGTTGACATTGGAACCAAAAGCTTACGTATGTTCAAAATGACAGGAAAACTTCTCTTCTAGAAAACAGCTTCTGACTTTTGCCTTCTTATGGGGATCATACATTGACAATGGTTGTTAGAACTGGGAACATCTATCTTGGTTTAATGCTTTTGTTTTGCTTTTTGATTCTTCTAGGTTGTTTAACTTAATGTTGGAATAGAGTACGTTCACAACTGCAGTTTGTCTTTTTGCCCAAACTGCTGCTCATTGTACTTATCTACTCGTGCAGTTCATGCTCATTTGCAGAGAAACTATTTTGCTCTTCCTCTGATAATTTTTTCTTTTGATTTTTTCTCTCTATTTTAGCTTGTGAGTTCTCTATTTTTTCTTGTGAGTCGTACCTTTTGCTGTCTTATTTCTACTTGTTTCTCTATTAGTGAAATGAAAAGGCTTTGATTTCATTGCTTTGCTTAATTGGTATTGGTTTGACAGAAATGGCTGGATAGGTATATGAGCCCGAGGCTTATATGCCCCGTGGAACTGTGGATTCTTACAACACCAACTTAGAACCTGTCAGAAACTTGCTTTTTTCTGATGCCTATGAAGATCATATGAGAGGGCAATGTTTGATTTTCACGAATGCTGTTCTCAGGGCACTAAAATATCGTGTTAGATTAAGTTAGTACTAAAAACTAATAACTTCCTGTTGTTGAATTTTGTGGTTTATGTTTTGTTTATGTGTTTTTTTCCCTCTACTTTTTTTAGGGATAGAGAATGGCATTCTAGAGGCATATGAAGTCGAATCTCACCCCCGTCCCAACTGAGGGTGAGTTATTTCATAATAGCATCTGTACATATGTTAATGATTGTGAATATAAATTTATTCACATTTTTGCAACAGATCATGAATTCCGCATTAAGCATTAGGTACTTTCAGGAGCAGGAGAAGAAGGGGAAGGGGAAGGGGCAGGGTTAGCAGAACTGGAGGAGGAGGCTCTGAGCATGGAGGCGACATTGATTTTGTGGATATTCTTTGTAATAGGGAACCTCTTGTTCATGATGCTGGGGCAACAGAAACTCATGATTCACCAAATAGGTATTGTTTTAAATATATAACAGATTATTACTACTTCAATGACAATAGCTAGCATGGATTTTACGAAGCTTTTTTTATTATTACATTTTGTAATTTACATGGGGCGGTTTGTCACATTATGTTGAAGGAAAGATTATCCCTTGAATCCTGAAATGCATTGTAGGCTGTCATATATTTGTTGAGAATCAAATTTTCTGAACTGATATTGGCAAGGAATGTTTCGTGAGATCTGTCACAATGCAGTATGCATAACGAAATTTTGGGTCTTTGATGTTGGTTGGAAATGTTACAATTTGGCTGTTTTCTAGTTGAGCAAGTTATGAATTCTCACAAACCTAGGGTGGTCAGTACTATTTTGGGCCTTTAACATTTGTTGATTTGTTGGAGGTGTGTTAATCATGCCTGTGTGATTTTGGGAGGGCACTAGGTTTTCCGTGTTGCTGAACGTCCCTCAAATTTTGATGGTTGCTTTTGCTGCTGTTACACTGATGGAATCAATAATATATATGTCTTCCTGTTGAAATTTTGATGAAAGATTAACTTGGTGATGGTAAAATGTTTTCAGATTATTTATGCACAATATACATCTTGTAATTTATACACGTTCATTGGCATGCTTCTTAAGCACTTATGATGAAAAACATAGACATGTATGTTTGTGTATGTATCTTTAATACTTATCCATCTCAGCTGGAGAGAGAACCAAATATCCATGTCTTGTCAGAAACTGTCTATTGCAGTGTCATACAATGTTGTATAATGCCAATTGGTATTGGTCTATTTGCCTTTGAACCTTAAGTTAATAGAAGTTAACATGCTCCTCATTTTCATCTAATTGCTGGTTCACCCAAAGCTTTAGTGATCATGCTCTCCCAGCTTGAGCAAAACAGGACCTCATTTGCTAACCCTTTCAATTTACATGGGGCGGTCAGACATGGAGAGGGCTGCAATATTTCTACAAGTCCTGCAAGAAGTCGAATAAGCAATGTTTTCAAACCCGGACCGGACCGGCCGGTTTGACCGGTTCAACCGCGAACCGGTCATGTGTCCGGTCCGGTTCATTGCTTATGTTGACCAGGATCAAAAACTAGTCAAAACCGTGAAAAATCATTAAAACCGTTAAAACCGGTTCGAACCTTGAACCGCGGTTTTTCATTTTTTGATCAAAATTGAAAATTCAGTCAAATTTTGACCGAAATTATCTAAACCTAATCGGCTAATCTTCACCTCTTTACTTCACTCTTCGCTTCGCCGCTTCGGTCCGCCGCTTCGGTCTTCCTTCTGCTTCCTCTACAATTGCCGAAATTGCTTGCCGTCTCTAGCTCCTCACCCTTAATCTGCTCCGTCTCTAGCTGATCCATAGCAATCAGCAAAAAGGAAGCATGAAGTTTCTGTTTTTCTACTCACCGCACCGCTTCTAAGTTCTAAGCCAAAATAAACTCTGGAGTCTGGAATCAATCACGGACAGTGATCTATGGAGCAACTCAATTCCTTTTGTTTCGATTCTCAGCTGCTACCCATCAATTCATCAACAGCTTTAGGGACAAAATTTATGATCGAGTATTGTACAACATTACCAGCACTGAAAGTGAACCTGTCGAGGTGAAACATTTTCCCATTCTATTGCACTCCTGAAAGGCCTCAATCTTATACCAGGTTCGTTTATCCTTTTTCCCTTTTTTTCCTTTCGTTGTTGATTATTGGGTTTTGGTTGCCCTTCCGTCCCCTCGGCCCTTTGTATATATACTGCTGTAATTTTTGGGCATATGATCCTTATTAACTTGTCATTGCAGCAGCAGCCTAAATGATTATATTATAAGCTGATCAGCCTAAATCAATTTTTTTTTTATTTGTCCTCAAATTAGATAAGCTGTCAGTCTGTTTGTCCTGCAATTTTCATTTTTTTTTACTCATTAGATAATTTGGTTGCCCTGTTGTTGAGTTGCGCCGTTGGTGAAACCGGAACTTAAGAGAGGTAGACTCCCACTCAGTTTTTGGCCGACAACCAAAAATGTCAGTTAATTGGTGGTCAAATTTTTGGCCACTCAGTCTATTCTATTGATGTCCGTTTCCTACCTTGGCCTTATGGTGATCGAAAATGTAGGAAACATACAAATTTAAGATAGGCTCTGAAACATGACTCACTGCTGTCTTTGAGGTAATGATTGGTGATGCATAATAGTCTAGTAAGGATTTGTACCAATTTAGATAGAAAGTTTCATGGTCATAAGTGGAAAAAGTTACATATGATGTCCTAGTAAAATCTTAATGTGATAAATAAGTTTCAATTTGTTTTTGAAGCAAAATAAATTATTCTAATCCTTTTGGACCTTCACTGCAAAAGCTACTTTGATCAATCATGCGTAAGCTTAACTTGGCTGACTGGCACAAAAACAGGGATCAATCTCAAGCTTTTTATTTTTTATTCTTGAAGAACGGAAAAAGGAAGAAATGCATCTGCCGGTTTCTACTGCTTTTCTAATTCACTGTTTCACTACAAAGGAATACTCTCAAGGCCCAGTACTTCACTGCTAAATTCCACCAACGGCTTGTTAGGCTGCTGGCCTGGCCACCATAAAGATCTTAAGTGCTTTTTGGGATGGAAGATTAAGAATTCGAATAGTTACAAAGAAGATTATAGAAGCCTCAGAAATTGGACTTGTTTGGACCTTTGATTGTTTTCTAGACTTGTATTGTTTTTTGTTAATTCTAATATTTAGACAATTGGACATGTAAGTTGGATAACTATGTTAATTGTGTGTGTGAATTGTTGGATATTGCTCTTATGTTAATTGTAGTTTAGCATTTATATCTTATTTTGTGCATAGGTGTGTGTGTGTGTTTCCTGATCTAGGAAATTTGCATTTAGATTCAACTCTAATTCTGCTGTTCATGGAGAGGCATGTAGATAGTACACTAACAGGAGATCCAAATTAGGATATATATATTAGGATGTATATGTATATATAATATATTATTTATTTATTTATTGAACCGAGGTTGAACCGGTCCGACCGGTTGAATCTCGACCCTTTCACTTCACCGGTTCACTTAACGGTCCGGGTTTTAAAACATTATTTTTTGTAGGGTTTAACCCGAATGGCATGCATTTTTTACCCGAATCCAGTTTTGATTGGCAGGCAACCCAAAATCCAACTTTCTTATCTCGAGAGATTCGACCCGCCTAAACCGAAGTTCTAATTTCGGGTGGGTTGAAGGCTACATCAGCATTCAGCAAGAAACATTTCTCAGAATATTCTCCCCCTTTTGCTCTCATAAATCGGGTGGGGTTTGTCGTCATAACTGAAGAATCTGTAGATCTTAGGCAGCGAGGGAGTGCGCCAAAGGTAAGAATCGCATATGACTTCTTCCCTCATCTCATTTGTTTTTGTTGATAATTTGTTATGCTGTTTTTTTTCCCCCTTTTTTTTGGGTGATTTGGTTTTGGATATCCAGCTATAAGTTTCTGGGATCCACAAGCCTGCATAAATTTGCTTAGCTAAAATTTGATCCTGGCTCAGCTACTTGTGATTTGGGCGGGGGGATAGGGGTGGGGTAGAGGGGCGGGGGGAGAGAGGAGGGATAAAGCTGGTAATGGTTGTCCATTTGCTCGAAGCTTCGGCTACACTTCACAGTCACAATGGTAATAGTTGTTTTCTTCAATTATTCTGCATATAATTTTGGAACTGCAAATTGCACTCAAATTTGTTCAATTGTTGGTATAGAAATGCTGATTCTGATATGTGAAAATTTTAAATGGATTTGGGATGCCGGTATGGTGATTTTTTTAGGACATTATCAAGAAAAAAAAAAGTTCAAAAAGATCGAATCTTTACAAGTCCTGCATCTAAAAAGACTTGACTGATATCTTTACAAGTCCTACTCGTAAGAAAGTGGATTAAAGAGTCATATTTGCCTAAAAGAAAAAATTATGTGCCTACTTTGAAATGTTTGCATGTTGGATTTTACGTGGTTTATAGTGGTTCTTGGGATATGATGGCAGGGTTTTTTTCAATCAGTCTACTTTGAAATGTTTGCATGTTGGCTGGGTTTGGAGCTTTCATGATAAGTCTCTGGCAACTGCAGCAGGTTTAGATGTTTGTGTTTGTGACCACTAGTGCAGGGGTAGAACTTGCTGTTATGAACCATGCTCATGTTGGGTACTCTTAATTCTTTGGCACGCTGGAAACCTTTTATTTACAGGAAGAGAAGCTGCAACGAGTCGTCTGCAAGTTTTTTTGTGCAATTTTTTTGTGAACTGGGAATTCCAGTACTCTTTAGTCTCTCAATCTCGGTACACTTTGAAGTTTGAAACAAGAAAAAGGAGAGTCATATGAATATATAATTGTCCTCATTCTATAATATTTCAATTATTATCTACTGATGAAGACTTGAGAAATCGTATCAAAGCTCGCACAGTGATTTAGAATTTGATGTTTAGTGATTTATATCTTTAGAATTTCACAAGTTGCAGCAATATATTTATTGTTTTAGTTAATGTCTTACAATTTGTTCACTACATTTTTTTTCCATTTATTGACAATCAAAAGGAACCAATATATACAAGAAACACCTGTATGTAAACAACTGAATTACAAAGAAAAAAAAATGAAAGGAATGTATTCCAGAAAAAAAAAAACCATTATTATGTAATAAAATATTCAATTTCTAAATTGAGTTGTTTTCTCATATTAATCTAGCAAGAAATATAGCGTTTTGCACTGGGACTCCAAGTGACCTACTACACGTACTTAATAATACGAAAGTCACCATTTGATTATACATATCTGGCCACTAATCTATTTGATTTAAAAGCTATCTTAATTTCTTAACCAGTGATCGATTATCGAAAGGCATATTAATGAGTAGAGCTAGATTGATTAAAAATTGATTAAATTCAAAATCATGAAAAATCAGATTCTACCTAAATTCATGATTCTCTTATAGGGTCTGCTTCTACAATTAAAAAAAAAAAGTAAACTCAAACCCATATAAAGTATGCTGAATCTGGATTGAACCCAAGCATTAGTTTGCCTAATTAACATCATCACGGAAACATATAGATACGAGTAATTATATAGTGCGATTGGGATATCATTTCATTAATTAAATAATTATTAGTTTTACACACACACACACACGTGTGTATCTATGTGTTTATATATATATATATATAAAGTAAATGACTTGATAATATTGACATAACTAGTATTCTATCCCAGCAACACTATAAAATTTCCCTGTCCTTGTCACATTAAATTGAATTAGTAAAAGAAAAGTTAAAATTATATCTTGAGAAAAAACCACATATACAATCTATCGGGGGGCATGTCAATGAGTCAAGTCTTATCCAGATCCAACCCAAACCCAATATAGGTAGGATTTGGATTTAATTTCTCAAATCCAGATCCTATCAAAATTCAAACCCTGTAAAAGAGTCATGATTCTTAGTAAAATCTAATTTTCTATTATTCATATCCAAATTTAGAAATATACCAGATCCATGTATACACACACACACACACACATATAGATACAAACACACATATACACATATGTATGTATGTATGCATGTATGCATACATACACACATATATACACACATATATATATGCATACGTATATATATACATAGATATGTGTAAACTTTTCAAAAAAGTAGAAAAAGTGAAAGCAAATAGATAAAAGATTGGATGTGAATACAGTTGAAACTTTGAAAATAAATAAAACTAGTCAGCAATATTTCTTTTTTTGAGTTCATAATATTGCATTCAACTTCTTGAGTATTAATTTTATTATTTTGAAAATAAAAATTAGATGACATTTGTATTATTTTTGAACTGTATATATTTTTAACATATTTTTCAGTTTAGTATATTCAGAAAAGTATAATGAAAACACATTGGATACCCAAATCCATGAGACTTTGGGTCTGGACTTATTTTTTTAGACTCATAAGGGTTTGAGTCTGGATTTGGATCTAATGAAATTTAATGGATTTAAATCTGGATCAAAGGAATCCAATCCAAACCCTATCTATTTACATGTCTATCTATTAGTGGATAACTAAATTAGATTAATTATTCTTTCCAATATTTATGAGTATCTGATTTTACCTTACCTGTTCTAAGCCTCCTACTAATTGTTGGTGCTTCAGGAAATTCTATCAAATTTTACCTTACCTGTTCTTAATAGGGGTGACAATCAGGTCGGGTCACGAGTTAGCGGGTCGGGTTGAGACATAGGTATTCCAGACAACTCACCAACCCGAATACGACTAGTTTATTTTATTGGGTCAGGTTTCTTGACCTGAACACGAATCACAATGTTCGCAGGTCATCCGAACCTGACCTGTTTCAACTTGACAATTTAATGATAAGTTGATCACTTAAAACAGAAGCACATAACTACTACTCTTCAGACTAATAACCTCTAATAATCAGCAATGTAAGTTGCCCATCGAAATTCAAAAATCCATTCATGCAAATGAGAATCATATGCAAAAGGCATTCACCAAACATAATACAAATCCAAATGACTAAGGCATAAAATGACATAACATAAGTTGAGAAGCATAATCACAAGTCCAAACTCCCAATATCATCATCAAATTCAAATGGCCACAAGCAATGAAAACTAAAAAGACATAAGATAATAACAAGTCCCATATCATCAATTCATCATCAAATCCCAATGGCTGCAAGCCATAAACACTAAATAGCAATAAAATAGACATAAAACTGAAACATAATCACTGGTCCAGGTTCCAAGCTCAAATAGTGAATTGATACTTCTCTTCCAACTTCCAAACTTCACTAAATCAAGGAATGCAAGTACTTTTTAAGTACCCTGCAATGTAGACATCAAAGTATTAATGCCTAATGGTGATACATATAAGTACAATAAAATATATTATGCTATAACATTTAGCTCACCAAAGTCAATGACTTAGAGGTTGACCACATTAGAGTTTGAATCTTCAACAAATTGGACATCATCTTTTGATATGTTCAAAGACATGATGTCTTAAGTTATATCCTCCAGCCTCAAATCTGTCATCTCTGCATTAACAAGATAAGAAAAATAAAATGAGTATAACATACTAAAGAAACAAAGTAGATATTAGAAGATCTCAATTTACTAATTTTACCTTTCTCCCCAAACAACCGATCTTTAGTACATACTAAAGCTTCAACTATTAGTGGTGACAAAATGAACTATGGAATTGGTCTAGAATCCTATCATCAAGGCTAAAAGCAGATTCTGATGCAAACAGTTTATACAGGAACACATAAGATATTTCTAGCTAATTTTCTAGATCTAAACATCGATATCGTTGAGCCTTCCAATAGTCAAGAACATGAATCTCATATTTTCTTTTACTTCTTGGCTCATCTAAATACATTTCCAATTGAGTTTTTTGTGCACCACATATAAATTCAAAACTATCAAATTCCTATTGAACATGACATTGAAAGAGAGATATATTAGACATGAAAATGAGAATAGAACATTTTTAAAATCACATGGAAGTATATAAATTAATAAGTCAATACTACTAAAAAATATTATCATCACACCTTGAAAACATGTGCTGATTGTTTTCCTTGTACTTCTGCTGCATCAAAAGAGGTCTCATTCATCTCATTGCTACCTTGAGAACAAGAGATAATGGCTGAGACATCTTACTAACTCTAACATATTCATTGAAGAGATTAAAAAATGTATCCCTGACCTTTGTTAGTTCTGCAGACCCTGAACCATATAATTTTTGATAACTAAACTCAAGAAACTGAAATTTGTATCTAGGATCAAATACCACAGCAATGGCTAACAAAATATTGAACTCAGACCAATATTTGCTGAAATTCACAAACATCTGTTCAGCAAGTTTCTTCATAAAGCCATCAGAACTGTGACACTCCTCAAACAACTTTAATTGAATCAGAAAAACTTGAGGAAAGTACAAGTTAGTAGTTAGTTACTTAGATCTTGAGAAGGCCATGGTTGCATCATAAAAAAATTTTTAAAAACTACAAAAATTTTCAACTCTTTCCCACTCTTCTGAAGCTGGACAGCATTGAAAATTGGAATCACTCAATTGTAAGTGACAAAAGGCAAGACAGTAATAAAGAGCACTTGAAAGCATCTTATAAGTGGAATTCCATCTGGTTGGGACATTCTGAACTAAGGCCTTTTTAGAATCACGGGATGTTTGTGCTATGCATTGAGTAAACTTTACTTTTTTCACTTGAGAGCCCTTCACATATTTCACACATTCCCTTATTCTATCCATTGAGACATCAATTTCTTTCAAACCATCTTGCACAATCAGATTTAGAATATGAGCACAACACCTCACATGAAATAAAATACCATCATGCACCAAAGCACCTTTCAACTTAAGTTGATTCTTAAGTATGTGAACACAAGAATCATTTGTAGAAGTATTATCCAAAGTGATGGTGAATAATTTCTTTTCAATGCCCCAATTACTTGCCAAACTATAAATTTTTTTTGCTAGAGCAATTCCACTATGAGGAGGAGGCATATAAGAAAAATTCAGAAATTTTTTTTACAGCACCCAATTATTATCAATGAAGTGTGTGGTCAAGCTCAAGTACCCAGCAGTAACTACGAAGCTCTATGCATCAGAAGTCAAAGCAATTCGACTAGGACATAATTGTAGTTCAGCCTAAAGTCCATCAACTTCTTTAGCATGCAATTTTTTTATATCTACCTTAGCGGAGTTTCTAGTAATATGTTTAACTTGTGGTTCCAAATATGAACATACATTTCTAATTCCCTCATATTCGACAAATGAAAATGGCAATTCATGTTTGATGATTGCATGCATCATTAAATCTCTAGATTTCTCTTGACTAAACTGAGAATTTCTTGTGGACAAAGCTCCTCAATCAGCAGTAAGAAGATATTGACCAATGTTTTTAGTTGTCATTTTTTGACATTTTTTGACATTTTTTTATATGTCGAAGGAGATTACCTGTCCCCTTTTTACTCTCTGCAGAGTAGATACGCTTACATTTTTTGCATTTGCATTTCAATTCCTCATTTGGTTTTGGAGTTAGGACGGTAAAGTAAGCCCAAACTTCAGAAGTTATCTTCCTCTTTTTCTTCCCTTCAACAGCAGGGTTAGGACATTGAGACTGGCTCATTTCCATTGTTTCTTCAATGCTGTTGTCACTACCACTATCATCATCCACCTCAACTGGATTTGGATTTGTATCACTTTCATCCATCTGTTAACCAACAAATAGATATACATATCATTGCCAATTCAAGTTAAAATTACTCTTGTTATAGTAGCAAATCGGAATCCATCTTTACAAATCTTAATCACACAAGGCTGTGTACAGCCCAACAAATTAAGAAGGCAAATATTGAATCATAGTTTGGAAAGTCATTTTCCATCAAAAAATTCCTATATACAGTTTTATTTGGCTATCGAGGGCACGCGCATGCCCATTGGTTAGATGCACAACTGCCGGTGCCCACTGCTGATGTGATAACTATAATACCGTTTGGATTAGTTGTTTTTGGGATTGTTTTTGAAAAATTTTATTGTAACAGAATTTTTATAGTATATTTTAGAAAATATTTTGAAATATTTAAGAGTAGAAGAGTTTTTAGAATATATTTTGAGATATTTTTTAAATATTAAAAAAAATTAGACTGCTTTTTAGAGTTTTTTTTAAAATTTTTAATAGTATTTGAAAAACTCTTGAATCCAAATAGGGCTAATAGGTGGTTTGTGAATACCCATATGATCAATTTATGTTTTGGGAGACAATATTCTGATCGTGTCCAGAGTTGAATCTATTCAAACTCTTTATCTACCAATTCTATTGCAGCAGAAGTTGAGTAGGTAAAAATCAATATTTCATCGATGTTTTGAGTAACTTACTTTCCAATATTAAATAAAAGTCGCACGGATCTAAAACAAATTCATGTTTAAGTTGTATAAGACGTATGTAATTTCTTTTTTTTTTTCCTGGCATAAATTTCTTGGTCTTTGGTGACTGCATTGAGCTCCTAACTAATCTAAAATCAAGCCTTGTTGGACCATTTTTGAGATCACTCTCCAAACATAATTTTCTCTATCGTTAGTATGCAATTTCTATATTACTCCAGCTTACTTAATTCTATATTGTCATGTGTTGAGACGGGTTAGCGTCCTAAAGTCAAAAACATTGAACGAAATATGTAGAAAGCTTCCATAAGGTTGTATATGCACGAAATTTTGTCCAACTTCCAAAAGCAGAAACTGGAATCTCTTGAAACCCGTTTTCAGTCAAAGGTCAGTATAAATAGAACGCCATGTTTTGTTCACCCTAGAAATTCTAAATATCGAACGAGTTGCAGTTGCTTCACAATCCATTTAAAGACGATCATTCTCTTACTCCTTTTCTCCTAATGAATCAGAATGCTCCCGATTTGTAACTTACAAGATCAGTCAATTTGTGTGATAGATCTAGTTAATGCGTCCAGGGATTATGGATCCAAGTTTGATTGAGGGCTTGCTCAATCTCTTTTATTTTTATCTACTTGCCCATGCATGCATGCATGCATGCACAGTTGCATATGATTACGTTCGGGATGCTAAAACCGTGTAGACATACACTTAGAACGTATATTTCTTATGAAACTAACGCATGCTTGTCATGAAAGTAGCAATGTAGTTATAGTATATTGCGAGGATTCGAAGGTTTCTAAAGATTTCTTTTTTGGGGGGTAACATGAGGAATACTTGCTTGCTCGTTGCATCTCTGGACTTCTTTAACCTTTCAAATCAATAGGACCTTGCAGTGATTCTGAAATTTTATAGGCAAGGGTCATATAGATTGATCAGAAAATATCCACAACTTACAATAACTTGTTGCGAATTAATATTGGCTCATCATACAAGTAAGTACGACACAAAATTGCTTTGAGCGGTAAGAATTGATTTGATTTAGCCGTGGTGGTTGGTGGATTCCTAAAACTTTTCCTTTCCTACTTTCCTTATTTGTTAATGAATTTTGGGAAAATCACCAATTTAGTCCTCAAACTATTTCACTAAAGCCGATTTGGTCCCTTAATGTTTCATCGCGTGAATTAAGTCCTTTAACTAAAATTCTTGTGCCAATTGAGGACCTATACAATGGCGCCACCCAAAATATATGTTTTTATACCCAGACCAACAGTGAGGCAGGGGCATTTTTGGAAACACAAAATACAATATTTTACGGGAAGCAAGACATCGATCATTTTGGGACCAAATTAGGAGCAAAAGAGCAGCAGAAAATGGAGGAAGAAATAGGGACCATTTCTCTGGTAAGCTAATTTGTCAAAAGCCAATCATTCATCTTGAATTTCAACAATGATCTTTTTAAATATTCACACTCCTTAAAATGTAAAGCATCGTATTCACAGATTAAGAGGAGGGGGGAAAAGATTCCTCTGCAAAAGTCAAGAATGCTTATCCTTTAAAGTTCACTTCTGCAACTCTAGTTCAATTAGTTTTGGACTGAACATTATCCGCCGAATAGTCATGTTAAAGAAAATTTTCCTAACACTGCAAGAATGGAATGTGCCTAAATCTCTGCATAGGCTATACCAACTACTATTATTAGGCAGCAAAATCGCAAAAAACCCGCATAGTCTCAGACAAAGCTAACATTCATCCAAATCCATGCCTAAGCAGCATCAAAGCTGCTGATGCAAGAACCAGTGGAGGTGTCACTACAACTGACCCTTCTTGAAGTTTGCTTGCCTGAGGCAGGTATGAGTAAGCAACTGCTGAAATCCCAATGGCAATTAAAATCCCAATGCAACTCGGTAGCGCATTGAACAAAGTCAAGGCTATTTCGTCTTTATAGTCAAGCTCCGGCGAAGGGGAAGGCAGAGGAATTTGATCGAAAGTGAAAGGCGTTTCGTCAAGAAATTAAATGCGCAAAGGACAGATGCAGCTCAGTCGAAGGAGATGAGATGAAATCGACTCAATAGTTAACGGAAAGGAAGGTAATGAATGGGCTAGGAAGCCACCTCTTCTGTGGACGCACTGGAGTATGACCCGGGACAGGAAGAGAAAGACTTTTTCTCCGGCGATCTTTCTCTCATAAAGCCAAAGACGCCCCAAGACAAGGTACAACTGTTGGGAAGGGGACATGATCAATAGAACCTGGCTGGATCCGGGCAAGGAAGGAGAAGACAGCACAAAGTAATCCAACCGGGCAGTGAAGGAGAAGAAGTGGGGGTAGAACAGATGGGTCAGAGAAATTCCTAGAATTAGCAAGCACGGCTTAGGTGGAAGCAGAGAATCCGGCGCTCCGGGAACTCACTTCGGAAGTCTAACTCGAAAGCCGATGAATCCGGTGCTAGTCTTTACTGCCCTCCTCCCTCCCTAGCTACTTGAATACCAGTCAATCTCACATCAGACAATGAAATGGGTTCTGTGATCAGATCAGCCAAGCCAAGAAGAATCGTTGACGAAGAATCAGAATCCATTCTCTGGGATCTTTCTTCTCTGCCGTTGCTGCCTTGCGAGCTCTATAATATTAGGCAAATCAACAGAGAAATCATGAAGAATACAAGAAATGCTTAAAAACTTCAAAACAAACACTTTTGCTAACCAGAGAAATGGTCCCTAATTTCTTCCTCCATTCTCTCGCTGCTCTTTTGCTCCTAATTTGGTCCCAAAATGATCGATGTAATATTGTATTTTGTGTTTCCAAAAATGCCCCTGCCTCACTATTGGTCTGGGTATAAAAACATATATTTTGGGTGGCGCCACCGTATAGGTCCTCCATTAGCACAAGAATTTTAGTTAAAGGACTTAATTCATGCGATGAAACATTAAGGGACCAAATCGACCTTAATGAAATAGTTTGAGGACTAAATTGGCGATTTTCCCATGAATTTTCTTAGCATCTTTTTCTCTATTGTATCTTGTGAGTGGTGTCTTGTACGTCTTATTTCTCCTTGTTTCTCTATAAGCGAAAAGAA